AGCGTTCTTCTACCACATGACTGCTGATTGACCTTGGTTTGAGGTTTTTAAAAATATAGCTTCGATCTGATTTTTGCAAGAATTCAAAGGATCAGACGTTGAGAAGATTTCCAAAGCTTTTTGTACTCATATATTCTCCTTTCATTCCCTTCTCCTCACTTTATTTACAAAGACGAGATTTAGCACTTCTAATGTTCTTGTGGTTTCCATCCGCGATCAACAAAGGAAGAGTAAATATTCTGCGATTGAGCAAACTTGACTGCCTAAAAAATTCTGCCGACTAGGATTACACAAAACCGTAACACAAAAATCGGCCATTAGTGCCTAAGATAATTCGAAATTCTATAGCGGATCTGTGATTCTAGCCTCTTTTCGTATACTTAGCTAAATATAACGTTGCCAATGACAGAACCAATGTAATTATTGTAAACATCGGTAGTCCCCATGCCAAGTTCTGGACACCAGACGCTTTGGAACTACCATTACTAATTCGAAGTACCAATAACTTGCAAGTCTGACAAAGCAAAAAAGCCTTTCTGGCGGATCTCGGAAAAAGCGCTTGATCATGCATGCACATACATTGCCTAACTTGAGTCAGCCCATTTTCAATGGGTAGTTTTGCCCTCCAGAAATACTAACAATCATAACTGCATGAAAAAACCACTAATATTTACTGAAAAACTGATCTACAGGGACATCATTGAGGTAGGCCATACATACCCGTACACAGGATCACTGAGTGAGCAAAAATGAAACATAACAAGTTGAATAGATCCTCAAATTGTACAACATATTGCAGACTAGGCACTAGATTACAAGGCTTCAACAGTTAAAAGGAGAGATCATGGTTCTTTAACAATGCTATTTTTCTATACGGAGGCTCGCGCGGCAGAAACTTCAGCTTTGAGAGCTTGCTGAATTTGCCAGACGTCAGTGTTTCGAACCAGTTCATCATCAGGCTTGATGCGAAGGAAACCTTCTGGCTCGTAAATCCAACGTCTGAAACATGCGAATGAATGAATTCAGATAAAATTATGAATGAAGTTAAGATGGAGCAAAAAAGATAGAATTAGGTAAAAATGTGTACAATCTACTACACAGCATCAGCTGATTTCAAAGAAATGTATAATTATAAAATCTCACTTCGCCAAAACGTCATGCTCTCCAATCATCTCCCAAAGCCGTACTTTTTCGTCATCCTGTAGATCCACACCGTACTTCTTGAACAGATCGTAGAGACGTAAAGCCAAAGGGGCCATCTTACGTTGTTCTGAAGCATGTATAAAAATTTAGATTTTCGCATATTCCGTTTTCAGAAACAAAAACAATCTAAAAAAGAAATAATGGTTCTTAGCGTCCATAGCAAGGTTTTACCGTTATTTTGCGCGCCATTACAAGGCCTAAAAGGCAAAAGCGGCTCTAACCGTCCACGCTTACAGCCAATTTTTCCTAAGCGTGACAGAGTCGTTTCAGGGCCGCGCCAGCTGATCAGAACAAGCCGAAGCCGTTCCGACACGACGTTAGCACGGCGCTGGAACGGTACTGGCACAAGCAGCTTGAAAGCGACCAAGCAGCGTGTCGCAGGCATAAGGCATTGAAAACTGAAAGAAAATCCGCTCGTGGT